TCATTGAATTATGTACATGCAAGATCACATTTACAGTTTTGCTTGAATGCAGAGAGAAAATCGTGCTATTATTATTAATTTATTTATGAACCAGTTTTTAGAACGCTTTTGTCGTTAGTTTAGCAAAGTTTACCCACAGTTCATCAGCCATGCCACGTACTCTCTCTTCGGAAGTACTAGTACGGACGTAAAACAAAGTAGCATATTTTTTTAGACCTAGTTTTAAGCTATTAACTTATCCTCTTTTATAGGACTGATACATGGTTTTTCCTTTTTATCTTCAGAGAATATTCTCTTGAAGGTTATATTGATGAGTAAAAAAAAGTATTATGCCAGTATCCTGTGGTAGGGCATTTCCCGTGGCATAATTTTTTCTACCGAATAAATGAATTAGTTCAGGACAGGTTTTCTGTAATTATGAAACATTTCTACTCTTCCACATACTGCAGCATTAGAGTAGCGGTGTAAACACAGATAACAGTACAATTAAACCATTTTATATGTGCCATTTTGACCATCAACGGATTCATAAATGTATTAGTCATAATCAAGTAAAATCCCTGCTTGTCATAATAGACGGAGAATGATCGTCTTTTGTCTCCGTGGGTTGTAATGAAATACGTTTTTTTATGTGTATTTTGTATTTTGGTTTTGTAATGTGATGTAACTAACCCGTCCTTTGTCTTTCTGTGTGATAATGCCTAAGTAAGGTTAGGTTATATATTCTCGAGTGATTATGATAGTGCCCGAGGTTAGACTAGCTTTAAAGTATACTACGATGTATGGACCGTATTCCTGTTGACAAATGTAGAAAAAATATGAATGAGAATGAATATCTTCACCATACAAGAGACCTATTTTACCGGTTTCGAATATATATTCGTTCAGATATACATATATTCGAAACCGGTCAGATACATCTCTTGTATTGTGAAAATATTCATTTTCATTCATGCTTTTTCTACAATGTATGGTTTCGTGTAACAGACTAGAATGTATGACTAACAACCGAACAGAAAGCATGGATATTTAAATATTTCGTGAAATATTTTTTTCCGGAAATGATAATGGTTGTAGCATTATGAAGTCAAATATTGATGATTATTAGTAGTAAATATTTTTTATTTGGAATGCCATTATGATCTTTGTATAAAGTCGTCATATTAGGCGAAAGTATTTCCCGTAAACAGAATATAGCAGTTTGAAAATATAAAACTTCGCATCTAAACTAGGAATTTCTAGTAAGAATCTTCTATTTGTTAGAAGTATGCATCACCAAGGTTAGAAGAGGCTCCTGTATACTGTAAAATAGTAAGTTGTTGGTAGAACTCATATGCACATTTTTTTGCCTCGGTCAGTGGCTGTCAACATTCTGCCTGACTCATTATGAGAAATTGTTAAATATGGTTTAATTAGAATAATACTGAAAAAGAAGATCTTTTGAAATGCCTAAATGGTGTGTAGATACGCAAAACTATGTATTGAAAGAAAGAATTAAATAATTAATTAAAAATGAACTATTCTTATATAGTTAAACGTACTCTGAAATTCACGCAAATGAAATGTATTATCAGCTGATGATGTAGTCCTCTATACTTAGATATTTGTGATCACTGACGAAATGGATTTTATAAAGGGTTATATTAGAAATATGTGTAGCGGTAAAAGTTGAATTACTGACAAAAAATTTAGTCTTTTAATTAAGAAGCATAATATTGTGAAAAAAAGTTTATATAATGGTAAACTGAACGAGAATTTGAATGAATATACCAAATAATTTGGTTGAGATACTTCAAATTATATTTTAATAATAACAGATAGTAAAGATTGAGGTTTTCCATAACCAAGAATGAAGACGAATATAGTAAAAATGAAAATATAATAATATGATTAATGTCGGTGTATCTAATTTGGTAATATAAATGTCATGAGATTGTATTCATTACATCCATTTGAATTAAGAGAAGGTAGAAAGTTTATCACGACAAACAGAAAACTTTTGAATGAGAATGAATAATTCTACCAAAAATTTGAATTCTTTATATCAACATTCAAAATTAGGTAGTTATGGCATTGTGGAATTATTAATTCTTTCTTTTTTCATAAAAATAAAGAAAAAACAAAGGAAGTCTGAAGAGCGCAAGGAAAAGTCGCCATGTCATGAATTATCGATGAAGTTGTAATTTTCTTTTTATATATATTTTTATTTCAAAAGATGGATCTCGGCAGTAATACAAAGTTTTAGTTTAATGATGTCAGTGTGTGAATTTTACAAAATGACATTAGATTTAAAGTATTTCTACAACGAATTCTGATTCAGAATACACATACCTTTCACTTTCAATAATAATAATAATGAAAAAATAGGCTTTTAATAAACTCTAGACCTATTTTCCTCATGCTTCGATGTAAGACGTTGACATACTTTCCCGAATGCTACATTTGAATAACAATAATAATAAATAAATAAATGAAATAACACCAATAGATAAATTATCTTTTTAAAAATTCTATCTGCTATGACAGACAAGGTTTACAGATCCAGGTGACACTGAGTACTGATTTCTCGTAATGATTAAACTAATGCATTCAAAGATCTGTGTAGCTTAGTTCTCGCAGGTGTCAGGCAGGTAACCATAGGTTCACCGTAACCATTTTACTGATTGTACTAACTCTGTGATAATTACTGGCGTTAACTAAAAATTGTACAAAGTATTATACCAATAAATCGTAAATACATATGAACGAGGCGTTATTCCTTCAAACCTTCCTTGGGTTTTCTGTGGACATCTGGATAATATATGATGCAACAAGAAATTACTTTATATAATACAATATAGATACACACGTACAATCATATATATATATATATATATATATATATATATATGTATATATATATATATATATTATATATATATATATATATATATGTGTGTGTGTGTGTGTGTGTGTGTGTGTGTGTGTGTGTGTGTGTGTGTGTGTGTGTGTACACATGTATGTATATATACATACATGTATACATACACACACATGTACATATATATATATATATATATATATATATATATATATATATATATATATTATATATATGTACATATACATATATATAGATATATATAATATATATATGTATATATATATAAATATATATAGATATAAATATAAATAATATATATATACATATTATATGTATATAC